AAGAGGAAGATGCAGTCACCTTTACTCAGATTCGGGTTCAAATTTCATCGCTGCCTCTAAATATATAGCGTCTCTTATGGAAAATGTATCAGCAGAAGAGCACATTGAATTCCATATAAATTGCCCAAAAGCTCCAAACTTCGGTGGCCTATGGGAATCCGGCATCAAGTCAATCAAGCATCATTTAGCTCGCGTTATTGGCGATCAAATTCTCACTTTTGAGGAACTCTATACTGTGCTAGTGCAGATAGAGTCCGTGTTAAACTCAAGGCCATTATGTCCTCTCAGCTCAGATCCCCATGATCTACAAGCTCTCACGCCAGGGCATTTCCTGACGCTGGAGCCACTCAACTCTATTCCCGACCCTGACTTGTCGACTATAAACCTAGGAAGACTTTCTCGCTGGCAGCTGCTTTTAAGTATGCATCAGTCCTTCTGGGACCGCTGGAATAGAGAGTATCTGCATACCCTTATGCAGAGGTCTAGATGGACCATACCCTCTACCCCCATTGAACCTCAAACCTTGGTACTGCTTAAGGATGAGCTGTCACCTCCTCTAAAGTGGCACCTTGGACGAGTCGAAGAAATTTTTCCCGGATCCGATGGCATCACTCGAGTGGTATCTGTCAAAACTGCTAAGGGTACCTACAGGCGGCCTGTTCATAAGGTTTGCCCTCTGCCTTGCAATTAGCTGAGATACTCTTTTTGTGTGTGCCGTCAAATTGTTTTTTTTTTTATCACTTTATTTTCTCTTGTATAAAATTTCATTTTAGGTGAGCGGGAGGTTCCGTCCTCGCGGAAAAGTTAGAACTTTATTTAGTTGAGATCAGGGAGATCGAGATCAATGTTTGTATAGCTTGAGAGAGGCTCACCTCCCTGTATAATAAATAATAATTATCGCGCCAAAACTAATGCAACGACAGGTTTCTGCGCACCTGGAGGACAGAGTGTGGGTGGCAAGTAAACAGACACACACGAGACCAAGTACTCACAATAATTATTTTTTGATCTCTCTGTCGATTATTTCCGAGAAGCAACCCAAAAACAGCAGTGTCCTAAGCTATTGGGCATTGCAACTCGAACTCAGGTGCATTTAGTGTTACGAGTGCCTTATTATTCTCAACAATAAGTGCTCCGATCAACAGACGGCCGTCATCAGAGTTACCGGCGCAGCGGTCCTTCGCCGGCCATCGAAACAGTGGTGAGTGAATCTTGTCGTTGCCGAAAAATATTTAGTTTTCACAATAGTACCAAACTGGTACAATTTACTACAGTCTGCTCAGCTTCTCTCTCACCCAATCAATGATAATAATGGAATTCTGTTCTTGAAATCGTCTGCTTTGTAAATTGATGGAACAGCAGATTCTCTTAAACAGATTTTGAAATCTTCTGTTCGAAAATGGGCCTAAAAAATAGATTCATTCTAATCAGATGCTGTTATAAGAAGTGAATTTCAATGGGTACCTCACAAATTTCGCTCGTCTTCAAATTGATTTTCCACCCAGAGGCCGTTTCATATCTTCCTTCCATAAGCGAATGAATGATATTTGATTTAAAAAATCGAATAAATGATATCCATTTGTTTCAAAATTGGCACAATTCATTATACAGCAAGTGATTTCCATAGCTGCTTTTATCTCGAGAGTATAATAATTATGAAATTTCATTTCAATTCTGACGTTTATAAAATGAATTGTCAAATTCAGAAACTTTTGAATGAGGAAGCGCGGGACGACTATGGTGCTCTTGTCACAATGCAAGGTGTGTAACTTTATAAATCTATACATTAAAAAACCCTAACTGTTGTCATTTCTGTGTCCGAACTCTTATCAAACTAATATCCAGTGACTCTAGTTATCACCATGTATAGTTGTTTAGTTTCGAGTTAGTTGTCAATATTATTGAAAATACAGTAAAAAGTAAAAGTCAGTCAAAAGCAGAGTCGTTTTAATGCAAGAATCTGACTAATTATAAGCCACATCTAAGCAAAACTGTTAGCCAACACATTGGTCCTCAAACCCAACCATATTTATTCGGATAATGGAACCAATCTTCGGGCAGCTGGAAAAGAACTGAAAAATGCACTACTTGAATTAGATGAAACAAAAATAGGTGAAGATCTGACGAATAGAAACATAACATGGCATTTTATTCCACCGGCTACACCTCACATGGGAGGGTGCTGGGAACGTTTGGTACGGTCCATCAAATTATCATTGTATGCGGTATTGAAAGAAAGAGCTCCTAGAGAAGAAGTTTTGTATACTTTATTAGTTGAGGCAGAAAATATTGTTAATTCAAGGCTATCAACCCACGTCTCCTTAGATGCGAAAGATATGGAGTGTCTAACCCCAAATCACTTCTTGATAGAAACTGAAGATAGACTAAAAACACCGGGAATATTATATTTCCAGATGAAAATATGTGAAAATTTCATATTTTTTCTAGGTGCTCCTCAATTTCCGATCCTTGAAACCTTACAAAATCTTTGTCAAAATGTTGGAAAAGTTACCCCGGCTTCAGGAGATAAACCGTTTAATGCAATTTGAAACGTATAATGGGTTATTCACATATTACCTCCTCAAGAATTTTTAAAAAATATTGGCAAGTACAAAGAGTTCGATTGTTTCGGAAAATGAGACTCGTTTTATTAAAATATGCATTTATTTCGTGAATTATGAATCACAAAACAAATATGACGAATACCAAACTAAACCAGATTATATCTAATCAGAATTATCGAAAACTAACAATTGCCTTGAAGATGAAACTGTTCTTGGTTGACTTAGTACAGCCCTAATACCTTCTTTTCATCTCATCCAAATCGGGGGAATGAAATTTCTCATTGAGGTTTCTCTTCAGGAATTTAACATCGCAGCAATGCAATGTTCTTCCTTCCTCCAAGTAATCCAGTTGTGCCACAAAGTGTGTCCATTGCTTTTCCCCTTGAAGAGCGGCAAGGAAGAATTTCAAATTCTTGAGATCGTCAAGTTTAGTATTTGAAAGGGTTTCAATGTGTTCATTCTGTGCGTTTCGATAATCAGAACCAGGTTCTCGGTTACTAGGGCCAGACTCTTCTTCGTCAGAATTCCCTTGTCCTGAAACTTCTATATTATCTAGATGATGATTAACTCCGTTTCGTAACTTCAGTTTGTTACTTTTAGGATCTCCTGGTGTGATGAAATCATCACAGAATATCGATTCTCCTGGTTCCACCCTGATAATTTTTTTCCCTTTCAGAAATGTTCTGATGCGATGGACATCAAAATTTGAAGAAAAAAATCTATCTGGCTTTGGGTAGTTTTGGAACTTTAAGTCGGCATACTTCTAGGAAGCTCGTTCCGATTGGAAGAAAAGATACCTGTAGCTCTAAAACCATTTTTTTATGTCTTGCTCTCTTATTTTAATGTCGTCCATCAGTTTCTTGAGAAGGAGTGGATATGTTGCTTCATCGAGCGTACTGTCCCTTGGATTTTCTGGCTACTTCCAGCGGTATGAATAAGCTCACACCCAACAATTGTGTCAAATGGGTAGAATTTGATGGGAAGAATATAAACCTTATTCCAATACAGTTTCGTCGTACCATTTTGTCCTCTTCGTCAGAGATTCACGGCTTGACTTGATATTCAAGCTACTTGACTTGACTTGAAATCAAGTCAAGTTCAAGTCAAGCGAAAGTTTTTTAATGTCAAGTCAAGTCAAGTAATTATTTATCAAGTACTTGAAAAATCAAGTAGTTCTATCAAGCTATTTGATTTTCAGCAGTTTCATTGTGTATCTATACAGCGTGACTCACGGTCGATGTTATAGGTTAGACATTTATGGAGAACGCGACGCGGGATTTTTCTGAAAATTTCGCATACACAAAAAATTCCTGAAGTTGAAAAATCTCGATTTTTCGCACTCTATATCTCCATAATCTTTTCCGCTATACCCCGAGTGTGATGTATCGATGAAATCAACTCTTCAAGGAGAATCTGAAAATGCAATAAAATACAGGGTGTTCAATTCGAAATAACAAAGTGGTTCCTACTTTTCTATAGAAGCGGCAACGTCGTGATTTTGAAAATATATTAGATCGATAGTACCGGTGATGAAGTGTGAGATGCAGAATTTTCAGAAAAATCCTGCGTTGCGTTCCTATCATAAACGTGAACGTCTAACCTACCATCGACCGTGAGTCACCCTGTATATAACTGATGAAATGAAAATGGCAACGTAAGACTGACTGCGCGATCGATTCAGTCAGCTCGGATCTCGGGGAACCCCCGTATTTTGTCTAAGCGTGAGCGAGCTTGCAGAAATATATACGGTGTGCGACTCGTGCGTATAAAGATCAAGTATTATCAAGTAGCTTGATTTCAAGTCAAGTAATAAATATCTCAAATTCAAGTCAAGTCAAGTACGTAATTTGCCACGAGCTTGATTTTCAAGTCAAGTCAAGTAGTTTGTTAAAATATCAAGCTACTTGACTTGATGAATCTCTGCTCTTCGTTAAGTCTGGCAAATACTCCTGAGCCCATCTCTTCCAAAACATGTTTGTCAGTGCTTGGGCTACTTTCCATTGTCTCCGCAATGATAAATCTCTGTCATCAATATATAATGAAAAATTAAAATTATTAATCGAAAAAACTCAGGAAAATTGTGCAAAGCAGTCTCAGTTGATGGTACGTCCTACTTCTGTAACGTACGTCTTCAAGACGTCTTCTTCACTTTCTGAGATATAAATCCGACCCCAAAATTACTTCTTGCTGATTCGCTTGTTCCAGATATGGCACCAGATAAAAGATAAACTGGTTGAACATGGCGCTCTGGGCGAAACCCTAGAGCTCCGGTGCCAAATTCATGACATCATCACCAAAGTGAGAAAAGCAGAGGACTTCAACAAGTCGCCGGAAGGAGGCTGCCTACGGCCATGCAACGCGGAGTTGCCAAACTGCAGCCACTTATGCAAAAGTGTGTGCCATATTGAGAATAGGGGTCACGAGGAGTATGACTGCATGGAGGCTTGTGGACGTTCGCTATGTACTAGAAAACCGGAAAAACATATTTGCAATTTGAGGTAACATATACCACTATTTTCTTGATACTTTCTTTCTTAACCAGACAATGCATTCTAGAGCTTTGCCATTCTATAGACAAACGCGTTTTGATTATTTGCTGTTCGACATAATATTTCGTGGTTGACAACGAGAGGATGTGCTGACGGGGCTTGTTGAGTTCGTCTGACTAGTAACGCTAGTGATGGAATGATAGCCCTAATAACACACGTTATCCAGACGACATCCATTTTATATCCATTTGCCGTCCAAGACATCCATGGACGCCAAATGGAACTATCTTTTGATGTACATTGTTGTATATCCAGCTGATGATCTAGTATGTACTCCATCTGGAAGCCTATCTATGTCCATGGACGCACATCGAATAGCCACTTGGATGTCCATACCGAATATACTTGGCAGTACATATTGGACATCCATAAGTGTATTGTCGGGATGTCCATTGCAGCGAGAAATTTTCAGAAGAGTGAAATGAGAAGAAGAAGATCTGAATTCATCTGTCAGAATTCGAAACATAATATATAGGTTATGTTTATTTGATTCATTCATTTTGGTGGACTTTCATGATAATTACTAATATTTTATAGTTGAATTATGCCCCAGTTTCCTTCTCTATAATAAGGCCTTCATACAAGTAAGTTCTTATTATTTCTGTGTCTATTCAGGTGTTCCTAATTGCGAATTGTTATGATAACATAACATATTTCTTCGATAGGTAGGTAAAACACCCTTCACCAGAATGAACAGAAGGAAAAAGATTTGAAACAGGTTCCTCCGACGTATCTACTATAAAGTAGAAAAAAATCATCGGATGTCGACAAACTCTTGAATGATAGGACAACAGATGATGTGTGGGCAAGAATCACTGACAATTTCGCAGTTTGAGGAATTCTCATCTTGGGGCCAATTATCTTGCTCATCGACCTAAAGTGACGATAAAAATTTATGGAACACCTTTTTCACTACATGTGGCTCTTGCATGATGAGGCTCCAACACATTACACTCTGAATGTCCATTGCTGTTTCATTCAACAGTTTTCAGATAATAAGTAGATGAAACGGCAGAGGAAATATACTATAGTTTATGGGGAGCAGTACCTATAAATTTCAAGGTGTACTTCAGACCAGTAAATACTGAACAGGAATTATGGAGACAGTTTCAGAATGCATTGAATATTTTCAAGAACAATGCAGAAACGATGCAATATATGCATTTTAGTTTTTGTGCTGCCAGTGCATTGGACCACTTCTTTTCCAATTTATCATCCTAAGTAGGTACTATCTATTTTTTTATCATATTATATACTTTAGGTTTCACCCATGAACAATGTTTGAAATAAAAGAAAATAACATAACCTGTCTTTTGAATACGTATAGGTTGGTATATATATGTCCAATATATGGACACCATATGGATGTCCATAATGGACACCAAATGGATGTCCATCATGGACACCAAATGGATGTCCATCATGGATAACGTATGTATGTCCTAAAATGTGGAAAGCTGATTTCCTATGGACATCCATAGGATGTCCTGTGTACACAAAGTGGTTATCCTATGGATGTCCAGGGTGTCCGGGTGAGGATATCCATTGGATGTCCAATGGATGAAGGTGTGTTATTAGGGAGCAGATAGAGATTTCTGAAGAACATTTCCTGTGGATGAATCTATATAGAAAAGTGAAAGATCACCAAACTTCTCACGTTGTTGCAATGATGTCGAAGTGTTGTTGAGGCGAATGCCTCTTGTCTGGATGGAATTTGAGAGCATCATCGTATGTTTGGGTGCTGGATCCCTCCATTTGGATACAGGTCAGGCAACCTGATGACTTTTCAGTGACGTCTTTTAACGTCAGTTGAATGACCAAGGTGACGTCAGGAGTTGACGCCGTATGACGTGATTATGACGTGAATAAGTCACAGCTCAATGACGTCATATTACTCACGTTTATTGACGTCATTCACTCATCAAACTTTGACGTCGAACTGACGTCGAAATTACGTCAAAATGACGTTGAAATTTGGTGATACGTTAAAAAGTTTCCTCGAATATGGTGTGATGATCACCACTGACCTCTGATGACATATATAATATTGATTATGCATTTTTGAATCTGCTCGGTGGTCCCTCCGGTATCATGTATGTACATACAATCGTCTTTTCAGCAGCGCTATCCCTCAGTACGCATCTCCATCAGAATAGAATCAGCTACTCTTATTTGCATAAAAAAATATGTAGTCTGTGTCGGCGAGAGATAACCAAACCATAAATTGTTTGATAGCAATGAGAAGGATGTTGGCGAATTTAGCTTCATTTTATCTGGTAACGTATATATATATATATGCATGTATCATTTGTCACCCAACAAAAATCTAAATAGCAAATTATTGAACAATTTTCTGAATGACGAAGCTCACCAAATGGGTACGTCACACCAGCGTGAGTTTTAGACGTCATAGATACGTCACTGCAACGGTACATCATGAAAGTGATGGTTTCAATATTGGGACACCTATTTCATCATTTGTATTTATACATATATGGCTTTTTTTCATGTTCTGGTTCCCACGAAAACGGATATCCTGTAATGTTCAGAGAACATCGTGAGAACCAAGGGACTTAAGGTAGGAATTGGTCTTTTTCTTGCATTTCTGCAGATTATATGCTTCGGGGAACACCTCCCTTGGCAATGTGTTTCAGTGCCTGGCTGTCCGTTGGATGAGATGTTCTGCTTGATTGGTTTCCGAGCTATACATGGTATAGAAGTTTAGAAAAGCTTGCTCTCACTTTCTGAGTATATATAATTCCAATAGAACTTGCATGTTGATTTGTTTCAATGAGTTATACTCATTCTATCAACGCTAGAAGCATATACATAAAATTATCAAGACGTACATGTTTCTATATATATGTTTGATTAAAAAAAACTGACGTCTTATTTTACTCTTTTAAGTGACGTTCACTCGACGTCGAGATGATGACGTGATTATCACGTCATAGAAAGTACGTCATAGAGACGTCATTAATTGGTGTGTGACGTCTCTGACGAAAAATCACCAATTTGGGAAGTCACAGTGTCGTGATCATTCGTCATCTGGTTGCCTGGGAGTATTCTGAAACAGGCCGTATCTGTGCTTTGTACATCATGAGAAGCTGCGTTGATATGTGGAGTAGCTTTCCACACGAAAGAAGAAACCAATAATCGAAAGTTTTCGATAAATTTGGATGCATGATTACTCTAGACTTCCGTATTCCAATTTCTTTCCAGTTTCTGAATGTCCGTTTTGTCGACGAACCTACGAAAATGATCATTACATTTTCTCCAGAATGGAATTCTACAAGATGATAATCAAAGCTGTGCAATTAGCAAAAGGCCTTCCGCTTGGAAGGCAAATTCTTCTGATATTATCTGAGGTGAAAAACATATCTGTTTCTCGATAACGAATCTGAAAACGAGAAGGACATCCAAGGGATATCTTTGCGGTACGTCCCAGGAATGTAGGTAGCCATATCAAGGGACAAGAATAGAGCATCCGAGATACATCTATCGGACGTCCCTCGCATATTTGTTCCATCTGATGAATTTGAATTATTGAATGAAAGGACCCCGCAATTGAAAACACCTTATAAACAATACATATATACTTGGGACGACGTCTATGATAAAGCTGAAACGGGACTCGCATCTGTTTTATCTTGAAAGTCTTTTGAGCCTTATCATCGCTCAAACGAAATATGTTTCGTTTACCCCCACAATTAAAGATCAACCGTCTAAGAATACGCTCACTATACACAATCATACTTGCCAAACCCCAATGATATGCACCTGTCCTAGAGTTGATAAGGTCAACAATATGAAATATGTTGGTGTATATGTAGATCAACATCTGCAATGGGAGGAACATGTAGATCAGACAGTTGAAAGACTTAGCAAATTATCCTATAAGTTCTACCAACTCAGGAATATCAATAATAAAAAGCTCCTAATAATGATATATGTATAACTCACTCGCCGAATCAGTCCTGAGTACTGCATTATAATATGGGGTGGTGTTAGCAAAAACTTGTTACATAACCTCGAGGTAATGCAAGATACTATATTAAAAATAATATTCAAACGTAGGAAAAGATACTCCACTATAGCACTATACAAAGAAACAGGCTCATTTGATGTGAAAAAATTTTACACCTATAATTGCATACTATGGATGCATAATAACCCAACCCCTTACATAAATCATAATTATGAAACCCGTTTATCAAAAAACGAGTGTCCCTCTTTGTAGATTAACCCGCACTCAAAGATTCATATCATACTCTGGCCCAAAATTAATGAACCTAGTTCCTACAGATATCAGATCAATTTCTAATAAACACAAGTTCAAGTCGAAATTGGAAGAATTTATGTTAATCAAAAGTATCACATTGAAAACTGTATATGGCTGGATCCTTGATAAAATGTTTCAGTATATTACAGATATAAACCATCTTACTGAAGGTAATACTATATGAAGTACCTTACTAAAAAATTCAGCCTCACCACTCTCTCTTTCCACCAAACCTATTTTCATTGTTATGTACAATTTTTATTTTTGTTCATCATCAAAAATGACTAAGTACAAAAAATTTTACAGATTCGAATAGGTACCTATGAAGATATATTTTACTTGAAAGATACATGATTATAGAAAATGTCAAGCAAAAACACATTCTCCATAATTATATAGTTTGAAAAAATGGAACATATGCTGGAAAGCATGAAGCAGCACCTCTTTCTACTCGACTTCTTTCCTTGGCCCGCCTAAGCCTGAATACTTGTTACTGCCTTCTCGATTTGTTTTGCCCATTAACATAATACCTATCATTCGATTGGTGATTCTTTGATTATGAATTCAACGAGACAAAGATTCCAATGATATCTTCGTTATAAATACCAACCTCACACTGCTCAAATTCAGCTAATTCATGTCCTAAAAAAATCAAAACATGACAACA